AAAAAAAAAAAAAAAAAAAAAAAGCTTGGGAATATTACATACAGCAATATTAATCCAACTGTTTCTTACATCTCAAAGCTTGGAAGAAATAACCCATTTACAAAGCATTATTACTAGCTAATTCACTGTTCATGGCAGTTAATTTATAACACACATCATCATAACCTGACTAGTTTGCAATTATAAACATGCCAATGATGTGCCAAAATGTCTTTTGAGATTTTTTTAAAAAGCAATTTGATATTTAATGATCCCCACTGTTTTGTGGCTTCAAGCCACAAGGACACAGGCCTCTCTGACACCCTTAATCTTCTCCTCAGCTCTTCTGCTGTAGAATTTTGCCTTCATGATGACATGCTGCTTTGGAACTTTTCCTTTTTCAAGAACACTATAGTAGCCTGATTGCACTACATCAATAATGGCAGCTACTCCAGTCTTGTTTTTGTCAGTATTTACTTGTGTCTGCTCACTGACCAATGTCCTCAATTTCTCAAGTCTGGCAGTTGGGCAGAAGCTCTGCTTTCTCTTTAAGAGGTAATGCCTCATACCTACCTTCCCAAAGTAACCTGGGTGATATTTGTCAAAGTTGATCCTGTGGTGATGCATGCCACCAGAATTACCCCGATCTCCTGGGTGCTTCCCATGTTTGTCAATGTAGCTGTTGCCATGGCTCACTGGGACTGGAAGTTTCCAGGTCTTCCTCCGTCTGTATGGAATGTCAGCGGCCGAAATGAAAAAGTGAAATATTTTAAATAAAGACACTTCTTAGTGCAATGCTTTCTTACTTAATACTTTCTTTTAAAAATATATAGCATAAGGTCATCAAATGCCTCAAGGGGAAGCTACTAAATAGTACAGCTGACTCTTCTTAGTTGTTATAAAACTATTTACAAAATAACTGCAACAAATTGAAGGTCAGTAACTAGTAGTTAAAATCAGCCCAAATTGCAAAGAGCTATAGTTTAATAGATGCTGCTTTATAAGCTCAGTACACAATCTCAAGGAAAAAGATGAAATTTTACTAAAAATTTTGTTGGCTTTAACTTTTCACAAAGAAAATACAGATTTAACAATGAAGTTATTTAGTCCCTCAGCTGTGTGTTAACTTGAAACTGTAATAGGTAGTATTTTACCTTTTCAGCTGATCCATTCACAGTTAATGCCAATTTGTTATTTTTATGATGCATTTTAACATAATTTTAAGAAAATTCAGAGACGAAGAATAAATAATTCATCTCTACCTGTTTACTTTACTCCATTGCTCAGTAACTACCCTATCAAAATGTCCATTCTAAATGATAAAAATATTGCCAGCTGAAGAGCACAGAAGTTTTGAAGAAATCATAATAAATAAAAATAATAGAAGACATTCAGAATGATATATACTTTTTACTTTAAAATATGTGGTCATATTAAATGCAGAATGAGAATGAGCTTTTCTCATATATATCACATTTAAAGTATAGGTACCTGGTCATCTTTATACTTAGAATAGACACCTAATTTTGTGTCTTCAATGTATTTAAGAACAAGAGCACTCAATAATCGCCTTGGATATTTTGCTTGCAACATTTATTTATCTTAACATATGGCAACCCCTTCAAAATCTTTGATATGCAGAATGAGTATTGATATCTCTACCAACAGTTTGCTTTATAGCACAATAAAACTAAAAAAAATGTTAATGGAAATTGGAAGAAGGAAGAGAAAAGGTAGAACTGCAGACAAAAGTATTGTGAAAATTTATGGTAACCACAACAAAATAATAAAAAATAAAAGTAATTAATACACTGTATATCATTATCTTCAAAGTGTTTAGAGTAAAAGAAACAGACAAGCCTTTCTTTTCAGTGAACTAAAAGAAACCAGCAGTACAAATGAAAAGGATTAACATACGTATTATATTTTTGAAAAATGTAATAGGTAATTTATGGAGTTATTTAAATTTCTCCTTATTTATCTTCTAGTCTGCTCTTTATTGGTATATATGAAAGACATTTTATTTTACATATGAAGACATTTTATTGTGACATGCTCTTCCTAAAAATGTTCCACAGACAAATGTATTGAAAAAATGTAAGTATATTATTTATTTTTATATTACTATACCCAAATTCCTGAGAAAATTAATTTATAAATATAAATAATTTTTGGCATATGATTTTGTAATTTCTACTCCAAGACTAATTGTTCCCATAGTTTTGGAACACTGCTAAGGTAGTATGTCATAACATGAGTGTTTGGTGAAGTGAAACTGGTCATTTCATGAGCCAGTATGCAAAAGAGGAAGAGTAAAAGATTTGAGTCCAACAGTCTCCTTCAAAGATATTCTTTTGACACCCTAAAGACTTCCCATTAGGTTCCATTTTCTAAAGATTCCACCATATTCCAATAGTGTTACCCTGGGAAACAAGAGTTTAATGCATGGGTCTTGCGAAACACTCAACATTCAAACTAAAGCAATGTCTATTAAGAGATAGCTACTTTAAAAACAATACTAAATTCTTTTTATACATATGGTCTGTTACATTTTTATCAATAGAATAATTCCTAAATCTTTTCCTAAGTAATTTGCAATCTTCTTACTCTCATTCTCTGTTCATTTCATAAATGCCAACATAGGGATAGGTCCGATATTGAAGCTTTTATTCAAAATTCCTCCTTATAGATGTCAGATTATATTACCTTTAAGTCACTACTAACCAAAATATTGTGGACAGTAATAAACTCAATACTGTAGCTTTAAAGAACATAAATTATATTGGAGAGTGATTGGATTAAAATAATTTTAGGGCTTAATTTTCTGAACTAATATCAGTGGAGTCATTAAGAAATTTATCAAATAAGGTTCAAAAATTTATATTCCTTCTTTCATGCAACAAATAAATTATGCCTCCCCCAATGGACATGCTAGTACTTTAAATACATTTTAGGTATATTGCAGTTTATCATTAAGGAAATAATTTTTATCACTCATTCTAGATTTAGAACTCTCATTTTCTGGTTAAAAAATTCAATCCTCCCTTCTCAAAACTAAATTGTCTTCCTGCGCCTTCTGAGATTTTATATCTGTAATTTATCTCCTTCTATCTTTAATATATTTCACACTGTGAAATTCTCATTATTCCTTTCTATGCCCAAGACTTCTTTCTCATGAAAGTCATACCAATTATCTACCATAATCTAAAGTCTCAATATGATTTAGGGATTGTCTTCCTTGGACTAACAGAAATCTATTCCCCAATACTAAACTATTTCCTCAAAGTGCATGCCATTGTACTTCCAATATCTTGAGTTAAACACTATATTCACAATATCTCACTAAAATACAATGTTCACTTGTTGCTAATCACATATGATAGCATCATCCTTCTCCTGTTCACAGAATCAAGAATCTGTTACAACCAAATCTTGTTATTTTAATTCTAAAGCAGTTATCCAATTAAATTATATTATTTTCATTACTACAGTCATATTTCAAGTCTCATTTTCTCTTGCTGAGATTAAGATATATTTAATAAAGTCAAAACGTTGTTAACTGAACCTCTAGTTGATTTGAATTTTATTACTGCATGGTAGATTTTCTTCTTGTTTCTTCAATGTACCCCAAATTAACTTTGGCTAAAGGCAATTATACAAGGGCCAAATACAAGTAATTTGCAAATGTCAAATATTAGAAATGATTAAAGTGATTTTTAAAAGAATGCAGGAAAGGATTCCTTGACCAGTCTGACAGCCTACCAGTATGTACCTTCACAAGTGGGACCAACCCTGTGGGCATTAGCAGCAGATAGCCTATAATGGCAAGACACATTCAACAGCAGAGAGTAAAAAGATCATCATTGTGAGCTCTAGAAGATGGCAGGATGGTGAGAAACAGAGAGAAGGCATGTTGTTGAACATTGAAACCCAACAGAAGAGCAAAGACAGTCATTATAATAAAGACAATGGACTACAGAGGATGGTGAGTAGTTGGGATTGACACCTCATATGAGAACCAGGACTTGCTATTTGAAGAGAGTCAGTTCATATCTGCAGCAGAACCATGCAGAGTTCAAAACAATAGGAAGTCAAGGAACTCAATTCTAGCATCAAAGCCAGAAACCAGTCTGAATCACAGTGGACTATGGCTGGCTTGCTGAAATCAATTGACTTAGATCTACATGCTGCTGCATCTGTCATCTTTTTAATGTCTCTCCTTTCTTGTTCTTGTTTTTCTCTTGTTTTGTTTCTTTTTGATTGTTCTTATTTCTATAAGAGCATGAATGCAGTCTCTAGTTTTCTATTTTTTTTTTTGAGACAGATTCTCACTATGTAGTTGAGATTGACCTGGAATTCACTATGTAGTTTTCTGAACTAATATCAGTGGAGTCATTAAGAAATTTATCAAATAAGGTTCAAAAATTTATATTCCTTCTTTCATGCAACAAATAAATTATGCCTCCCCCAATGGACATGCTAGTACTTTAAATACATTTTAGGTATATTGCAGTTTATCATTAAGGAAATAATTTTTATCACTCATTCTAGATTTAGAACTCTCATTTTCTGGTTAAAAAATTCAATCCTCCCTTCTCAAAACTAAATTGTCTTCCTGCGCCTTCTGAGATTTTATATCTGTAATTTATCTCCTTCTATCTTTAATATATTTCACACTGTGAAATTCTCATTATTCCTTTCTATGCCCAAGACTTCTTTCTCATGAAAGTCATACCAATTATCTACCATAATCTAAAGTCTCAATATGATTTAGGGATTGTCTTCCTTGGACTAACAGAAATCTATTCCCCAATACTAAACTATTTCCTCAAAGTGCATGCCATTGTACTTCCAATATCTTGAGTTAAACACTATATTCACAATATCTCACTAAAATACAATGTTCACTTGTTGCTAATCACATATGATAGCATCATCCTTCTCCTGTTCACAGAATCAAGAATCTGTTACAACCAAATCTTGTTATTTTAATTCTAAAGCAGTTATCCAATTAAATTATATTATTTTCATTACTACAGTCATATTTCAAGTCTCATTTTCTCTTGCTGAGATTAAGATATATTTAATAAAGTCAAAACGTTGTTAACTGAACCTCTAGTTGATTTGAATTTTATTACTGCATGGTAGATTTTCTTCTTGTTTCTTCAATGTACCCCAAATTAACTTTGGCTAAAGGCAATTATACAAGGGCCAAATACAAGTAATTTGCAAATGTCAAATATTAGAAATGATTAAAGTGATTTTTAAAAGAATGCAGGAAAGGATTCCTTGACCAGTCTGACAGCCTACCAGTATGTACCTTCACAAGTGGGACCAACCCTGTGGGCATTAGCAGCAGATAGCCTATAATGGCAAGACACATTCAACAGCAGAGAGTAAAAAGATCATCATTGTGAGCTCTAGAAGATGGCAGGATGGTGAGAAACAGAGAGAAGGCATGTTGTTGAACATTGAAACCCAACAGAAGAGCAAAGACAGTCATTATAATAAAGACAATGGACTACAGAGGATGGTGAGTAGTTGGGATTGACACCTCATATGAGAACCAGGACTTGCTATTTGAAGAGAGTCAGTTCATATCTGCAGCAGAACCATGCAGAGTTCAAAACAATAGGAAGTCAAGGAACTCAATTCTAGCATCAAAGCCAGAAACCAGTCTGAATCACAGTGGACTATGGCTGGCTTGCTGAAATCAATTGACTTAGATCTACATGCTGCTGCATCTGTCATCTTTTTAATGTCTCTCCTTTCTTGTTCTTGT